AGTCTGAGTTCCGCTCCGGTCGTTCGGTCAACTAGTGCGCGTCCCCTCCCCCTTCTCTCTCTCTCTCTCTCTCTCTCTCTCTCTCTCTCTCTCTCACACACACACACACACACACACACAGTAGCCCCACACGCACTCAACGTGTTACTATGGCAACGAGAGCAACACAGATGCCGTGTGAATATGCGTGTGTTAGTGGGAGTTGTGTTCGCACGCGTGAGCGTGAGTGTATGTGTGGAGGAGACTCTATTTAAAACCAGTGGGGAGCGTCTTATGCCGCCCGCCCGCCCCCAAGCAGCCAGACGCCTCTAGCCCAGTTATCAGCTGCCCACTGGCCAACCACACCGCCGTTTTACGTTTAAGAGGAAAAACCCTGAAGCATCAAAACGTTAAGGATATATTGGGGTTGGCCTCGGTGTTGGCATTCCCCCTTAGTTGCATCAATGACTTCAAAGTCATACCGCATGTAAAATTAGTGCCTTGGTCTTAAGACAAACAACCTATTACCAGCAGTCCATTACTTTAATGAATGATAAGGGAATGGGATGTTGAGGTAGCTCAATCTATACGTTAATCATCTTGATATCTTTTTTGAAAGAGCTGGCGCTTGGGGTATCGACGGCCCCGCTCTGCAGGCGGACACGATGGGTTGACTGCCTCCCGGGCGGACGCGAGAACCCACCCCCACCCCTATGCTGCTCTGTTTGGGGGGCGGGGCGGGCAGGCCAACGGTTCACATGTGTCGCTCAAATATCCCGCGCCTCCGCGACAGAGTGGCGCCCCCCGTCGGGAGACGGACCAGGCGTCGTCATGGCAACGGTCCAATGGCTCCACCTGCCTCGCCGAGACCCCTCGCCGAAGACACCCCCGAACGCTCGGTTCATCCCTGAAGGTACGCCGATACCCCGCGGGTGTTCCGCCGTGACGCGGGTATACCCCTCGCGCGCCGGTCGGTCTCTCTGAACCTGCGCCTGTTCTTTGGTCAGGGTGGTCCAGTTGGGCTGGGTGCTCGCCGCGCCCCACCACACCCCGCCCCGCCCGGCCATGCCATGCCGGAAGCATCGGCTATTCATATCCAAGAACCCACGCGCGCGCGCCGCGGGCCCCGAGGGGACTGCACTCTGGGCTACTGGGGAGTGCAGCGCGGGGCCGGGGGGCGGCGCACGTGCACCACGAGGGACGGGTGGGACCGCGGTGCACCAATGTACCGGCAGCTCCAGGTTATCTAACCCCATCGTTCTTAGCACCAATAATGAGTCACCCAGCCACTCAATGATAGAAGTGCAACGAGTCCACGATTATGGTAGAAAATAGTCATCATGTTTCAATGTAATCTGGCAAAACAAAATTAGTGCACTCAAAACTGTTGTGCTGTTGCATAATTTCGAGGAATTTTTTAGTATCAGTATTGCTAAACTTTTCCCTGGTACACAGTACTACAGCATTTATAGTACTTGGAAAACGTTTAGTAATACAAGGAAAAAGTTCAGTAATTCCAAATAATTTTTCGTCTTATACCACAGCACAAAAATTGAGTAGTTTAGTAGGTTTAGAGTCTTGAAGGCGCTTAACTTATGTTACATTAAAATTTAAAATATAAACAAGCTTCTTGGCGGGAAGAAAACTCACCCAGCATTCAATACCAATATTTTTCAGCAAGCACTGTGGCAGTGTACATAGCCCCATTGGCACCTGACGTGTAACAACGCACAGAGGCGCGGAGAGTGTTTGTAAACAGACGTGCGGGGGGCCCCGTGGCCCGTGGGGCGGCCGAGAATGAGAGGTGCGGAGCGAGGTGCGGACGGGGCCAGGGGTGCGAGCAAGAGAGAGAGAGAGAGATAGAGAGAGGCGCCATTCAACCCGAGGGCTGGACACAAGGCCGCTCCCGGGGTCCGGTCGACAGTCCCCGCGGCAGCGCGCGTACTACTCACCGACTGGGGCGCGGGCGAGTACCGCGACGGCGCCCCGTTGAGCGAGCCGTAGCCCGTAGGGGACTGGGGCGGCGGCGGCGCGGGGGGCGTGATGGTGTTCTGCAGGTCGGCCAGCAGGGCGTCTGCAAGCAACAAAACAACAACGGGCACACTGTGAGGAACAAAACGATATTATTATAATGAGCACACAAGGAGAGGAGAGGACATCGACAAATAAAAATTACGACGACGACGACTCCTTGTCCGGTGTGCTGCTGCTGCTGCTGCAGCAGCAGGAGGCGTGGCTGATCCGCAGTAACGACCCGGGCAGGCATTATCAGGGAGCTCGGCCACGTCGCGCCACGCCGCGCCACGCCCCTGCCGCCACGGCCACGGCCACTGCCCACGTACTACATTCTTCCCTCCCCCCTCCCCCTCGATCGGCTGCCCGATATACAGCCTCACCTGGACCCGCCCGGACGGGCCGCGCATGGCGCGCCGCATGGCCATCCTGGGGCAGCACTAACTATATCCGCGAAAGCTCCCGCGGGCCGCCGCGCGCGACGGCGGCTGAACGGCAGCGGCGGCGGCAGGTCGACGGGTGGCATCATCGTGGCCGCAAGCAAAGGGTGGGTAAAACACACAAAACCACTCTCTCACCGACAAACCACTCACACACGCACACAACGAAAGAAAAGGGGACAGCTGGCAAACTGAACAACTGGCCCCAACGGCCCTTCTCTCAATGCCAATATGGCCAATATGGCGGAGCCGTTGGGACCACATGGATTCCTCGCCGTCGTCGTGGTGGACCCTTCGTGGACTCACCCAGGGAGGCGATGTCCGGCGACAGGCACACGGTGCCGTAGCCGTGCTCGTCGTCGGACATGGCGATGGGGTGCGGAGGATGACTTTGACGAACGGACGAAGGGGAAGTGCAAACTTCCTCCAGCGAGCGCAACAGTGGCAGCGGGCGCGACGCGGCGTGGTCAGTGCGCGGAGACCGGCCAGTACCTTGCGGGTACTTGTCCGCACTCGGACTGGTTGGTTGGGCCGCCTCGTCTACGCATGGCGTCCGTCCGTCGCCACGTCTCTCTTTCTCCTTCTCTCTCTCTCTCTCTCTCTCTCTCTCTCTCTCTCTCTCTCTCCTAGCCAAACGTGCAGCGTCAACACGACACGCAGAGCCACAGAGCAGCCGTGCGCAGCGCATTCCCTCGGGCTCCCTATGACACCAGCCCAGCCCAGCCCAGCCCGGCCCACACTGATAAAACCTTGCCGAGGATTATTTGTTCGCAACCCCAAAGATTTGTCTGCTTTGCAAGGCTTGCGAGGGAGAATTTCTCTACAAATGCTGTTTGGGATCAAGTGTTTTTCACACGCTCCTACCATAAAGTCGCACGCATCCGCATCGTGTCAAAATATCCCGATCGCACCAACCGAACTAGAAACCTTCGGGTAGGTTAGGTTCGCAATTACAAAAGCAGCCACCACCCCCGTTCGAAGTGAATTTACATTGAGTACAGCCCAGCCCAGCACCACCACCTGCAGCTGCGGGGACTCAGCTTCCCCCGCCCCTCGCCAGATGGCGAGGCGGCATTCACAGAACTAACCGCGCACACCGCGTCGGGTACCTCACCATGGGCACCTCGCGGTGGGCACCACGCGTAAGCAGAACGCCGCACACTGTCATGCAGCGAGCGGCTCGGCGGCTCAATATGGAGGGGCGATGTGCCGATTGGCGAATGCGTCCCGAAACACGTACACGCGCACACAACCACTTCGCGCTTATTGGCGTGACGCTTTGGTCATTGGCAGCGACGACAACGCCAACATTGACACCCTCAATCACGAAAAATTTATCATGAAAAAAAAATATCCACGGTTTTAACAAAGCAGTAAGCCGAAAACACCGGAAAAAAATAACATGAGCGAGAGAGCCCCTGTGAAACTCGGGATAGGCAACCCCGCACGGCACGCGTGTCGCGCGGGTCGGCCTACCTCACGGCTGAGGAGCCGATCGCCTCGTATCTTATCGGCGATAGCTTTGCCAAGCTGTACACAGAAGCCCCGCCATTTCCGGCCGCCGCTGCCGATCGCTGGGATATTATTATTTGCACTCGGTACAAATACAAGGAGTGATACTGTGAGCGCCCCGCTGGGCCGCGCCCCCCGGCCGGGCCGGCCGCCGCGTTTGGAGGCGGGCGGTGCAGAGTGTAGTGCCTCGCCTCGCCTTCCTCTGTGCGCCGGCCGAGCCGGACAGCTCGTTGGGACCAATAAAAGAGTCTTGACGAGGCGTCGCGAAACCATCGAGAGGAGCTGCGCTCGCTGCGCCGCGCCGCCACCCCAGCCGCGGCGTCAGCCGGCGCCGAGCGCGGCGGCACTTTCAAATGCGACGCGGGTAATTGGACAGTCAATGTCAAGTGCTGCTTGCACCGCACAGGCTGTTTCAAGGCGAGAGTCAAAAACGAAACAAGAATTTGAACGATTTACGTCCCGTTTGGCTAGCACGGGGAAACCGATAAAACCCGAACCCGAACACACCAAAATGCAGAATTTTGTGCAGCCATATAGTTATGCAAAAAATGGCGTGGTCCATGCCTAATACCAATAGCCTCGCAAAAACTTCGTTCATTTTGCAGCATGACAAGTTGTGCTTAACTATTGCTGCTACAAATTTTGCAAGCGTTCTACAGAACATTACCGCCTTAAGGGTATTCTTTCCGTTCAGTCTAGCAACTGACAAAACCTCACGGTGACACTGGTAAATTTCAATGGTGCGAACCCCTTTCACCCCAAACTTCAAACTGTAACTCTTACGATGATTTCTTAAATAATTTCATGGACGCTTTGAAAACTCATGTCAACCAGACTGCAGCGCACAGCCAATACCCGAACGGATCCTGCTGCGACACGTACCTCTGCTGACGCTGCCCTGCGGCGCGAACTTCCGCACGAGTTGCGGTGACCGAAGCATGGCTGTAGTCACTAACACTTGGTACAACAATAACTACAGCACTCGTCGCTGGGTGGCGGGTGGTACACACCGGCTCCTTGCCGCACACACAGACACACGCACGCACGCACTCACAAACGTTTCCCGGTCACTCTCGCCACACTCTTTCGATACAAACACACACACACACACAAACACGCGCGCGCGCACGCACAAAACTAGCGATCGCTGTTCGATTCGCTCCGCGAGGCACGGAAGAGAGGCGCCTACTGACTGGCGCTGCTCGGGGCGCAGAGTCGGCGCGCGAGCCTGGAGAGCGCAGGCTGTGCAGGCAGGAGGGGGCCGTGTGGGCGCCCCCGCCCGGGCCCGGCCCTGCCCGGCCCAGCGCCGGCCCCCGCCCCGCTGGAGTGACGTCGCGACCAGTGAGTGAGTGGGCACGAGGCATCGCCGGGCGTAGCCAAGGCGTAGCGGCGGCGCCCAGTAGAGCTGTGCTGTTTTTCACTCCTCCGAAAAAGAAGAAGACGCGGGGCGAGACGCGGTCATCTGCACGTTCTCACACGCGACGAGACGGAGAGAAGAAAAAATAATGAATGAGAGCAACCGGCTTTGCTCTGCTCATCTGCTCTGCTCTGGAGGAATGCGACAAGAAGGGCAGAGGGCGTCGGTTTGGTCTGGGCGGAGAAAAGCGCCCGCAGTCGAGGGGGGCCGCAACTGAAGCAAAATTAGTACACAGACTGCAGCATGATTGAGCAGGATTTCATTAATTACGGAAATTCACAAATGCCAAATTATAGAACGGATTTTATCTTTATTCGGCCTACTGCGTTCCAGTTATTTACTGCAATCGGGTAATTTGCTAAAATTATTCAAGATTGCACCCAGTCTTATATACACACGATTGGAAGAGTTGTGTTACGCCCCTTCCCTCGCCCGCAGCTCGAGAGCGTTGTCGATCCTCTTTCCAGTCGGTTCTTCTTATTCTTCACGCACGCAAATTTCTAATTAAATAATATTATTACTCTGAATATAAAATTCCCCTGTGGAACAATCTTCCTGTTACAACAGTAGGACGTTGAGGTCAATCTCTTTGTCGCTCTGTGTCCACACTAATAAACTAAGTGTTGCTGTTGAACTCTTTAGGCAACTTCGTGTCAGTGTTTTTTCTTGAATCTTTTTGACTCCTGACCCAACGCTCTTAACGACTTACTGAACATCCTAATGTGGAAATAAATCTCTGGAAAATATCATTTTAAACGTTGGGCGAGCTAAACATTTAGGGGACTCAAACCTTGCAAACATTTAACTGTAACAGCTTACCCGTTTTCTTTCGTGTAGCAATTTTCTGGGCAACTGTCTGAGCAACATTTTAGTCAACTTTTAGAATAGTGCTAGCAAAGATTCTCCAGAACAGCCCTAGCAGAGGGTGGCTGGATTCTGCGTTCTGTCCAGGAGGCGGGTGCCGTAGTCAGGCAAAGAAAATGACGTTACGCAAATAAGGATCACACACGACGCTGCGAGAGGGACAGAGAGAGAGTTAGAGAGAGAGAAAGAAAGAGGGAGAGAGAGAGCATCCCATTGCAGGTCCTGGACCCCAGCCATCCCGTGGGCCGCAGTGGTCCGGGCCGGGCCGCCGGACGCCGGGCCAGCAGGAGCCTGCACACTGCAGCAGCGGGTGCACGCGGGGCTGCAGTGGGCTCGCTCCGCGCTCCTTCCGCAAGGTGCTCCGGGCCCGGCCTTGCACCGCGCCGGCGACTGCAGCCCGGCCGGCCGCCGCGCCGCGCCACGCCGCGTCCTTAAGTAGCGTTCAGACATTTGTATGCGAGCCCAAATAAGGATACCTGGAGGTCCTTGGGCCGGCTCCGCTGGCGGGCCGGCCGGCAGCAGGCGCAGCAGAGGCCGGGGCGCGGGCGCTGGCGCGGCGGAAGCTGGGTCACACATCTCCATTCGGAGGTGCCACGGACACAAACAGTGCGTGATCGGAAGCGCGCGGACGCGGGGCGCGGGCGCGAGGACGCGGCGGGTCCACGACGAGCAGGTCGTCGGGGACGACGGGAACGGGCGGGAATGCGCAGAGTCACCGCGGAGGGTCTGTGTCGTCGGCACGTCGGCAAGTCTCCGCGGAGAGCCGCGCAACTGACCTCGAGGCCATGCCGCAGGGCAGCCATTCCAAAGCCCTTCAGTCACGAGGTT